TGACAAGCTGTTGTAATACGCGGAGAACATTTTAAATATGTACAATCTAATCAATATAAAATGTAATGTTGATATCTAACTAACGATAACGTAATGTATTATTTTGCTAGCTAACACCTCTCCCGCGCTCTCACTTCTGCAACCAAGCTGCGCGCGCATCCCGAATGTTTACAAGCATATAATTGGCCTATATTGCGCCAGAACGCTCACCACACACCAGCTTACTGGTGGAGAGGAGATCATGCTGGTGTCCTGCTGAACCCCCTCCACAGCTATGAACTCTACTAGTAAGCAAAACCTCAAACATACTGTGCACTACTGTTCAAAAGTTGGTTCTATAGGATTTATGCTTTTGAAAAAAAGTCTCATACTTCAAGCCTGTAGGCTAAATAATTAGCTAAATAATAGACAGCAAATATCATGTTATAATGGTCATAGTCATAAAAATGGGCTACATGCACGCATAAGTTCTGCATTTGACGCAAGGCTGCTCTTCGGTTTCCGGTTGGGGAGATTTAAAGCGGAGGAAAACGAGATTGTGGCAGAATCTTACTGTGGAAGAATTTACTGTCCTCCCGTCTTTGAAACGAAATTTAATATGTCTAGATGTGATTTTATATATAGTTATGCTTATTTAATATAATTAAAAAAAGAAGCATAAACACAATGAGGGGTGTCTGTTTTTGTGATTAACATTTCTTTAGTATAACCATAGAGAATAAAATCTAGTATAGATTCTCGGTATAGCATTGGACTCGGCAGAAGTAATCCAGCGTCCTTAAAACTTAAAGGGTTAGTTCACCCAAAAATGAAAATTCTGTCAGTATTTACTCACCCTCATGTTGTTCCAAACCTCTATGTGTTTATTTGTTCTGCTGAACACAAAGAAAGATATTTGGAAGAATGTTTTAATCAAACAGATCTCATTCCCCATTGACTACCATAGTAGGAAAAAATACATACTATGGTAGTCAATGGAGAATGAGATTTGTTTGATTAAAACATTCTTCCAAATATCTTCCTTTGTGTTTAGCAGAACAAATAAACACATAGAGGTTTGGAACAACATGAGGGTGAGTAAATACTGACAGAATTTCATTTTTGGGTGAACTAACCCTTTAGGTGGAAATACCGCCGTCGACGTGCATAAAGCCTATCAATTTAACAGGATAACAGGATATCATGGTCATTCGTATTTTTATTTTATTTCTTTAGGTGTGTTTTGAAATACGTTGGCCAACGATACAGACACCATACTATCCAACTCAAAGGTATTTATTTATTTTTATGCATTTTTTTACTGATGAATAATGAATTTCTTTTTACTTTTAAATGCTGAATTCAGGGGGTCGATAACTTTAGGCACACAAGTTATTTTTCACAGATATCTGTCCAGTTTACTCATGGCTCATACTCTTAGCCTTTAAAATGTTTGAATTTATATTTGCAATGCAATATCAGGGGGTAAAGATATCATTAGAGTTCTTAAGGTATGGCTATGTTCTTGTCACCAGATGAGATGTAATCGTTTGACCCTGTGATTCTTCAGGACAAGATCTTGATGGCATCCACACTCAGTACATGACGGAAGGTGAGTTTCACAATAGCTATATCACTATCACAAACCAAGAGACAGAACACAACAGGCCCATCCCAACTCACCCATGCATAGGGATGGGTACTGAAACCCGGTATTAAACATTAAACGTTATCGAACCGATAACAGATCCTGCTGACGGTACTAAAAAAATAACACACACTGTCTATTATAGACATTGTCTTGCAAATTCTGTGAGGATTCGGAGTGGTGTTTAAACAGTCTTCATACAACATGTGTTCAGATGGTTCTTTGTAATTTTGTATGAGTAGGATAGGGAGAGGCTGTAACTCAGTTAAGACTTATTTTACATTCGATTAATTAAATTTCTGTAGCCTACCTGATAATTTAGCTTTTCTTGAAAAACAATGTATTGCTTATTTTAATTGTATTTTTCTTCTATTGCATTTATCTATGATTCACTCCTATATATAGTAAATGAATAATCTGTTGAAATTTGTTTTTATATCGCAATATATATATATATATACGTATATATAGCAGAAAAACAAAATATTCTATTGAAGTTTTTCAATAATGCGCATGCCTAATCTTGAGCATTTAACCTAACCCTAATTTTAAATTGAACGTGGATTGAATTATATATTAAATTGAATTATAATTTGTGACACCCGATGAAATGTACGAATGATAGATTTTAGCCTTAAACATATTTCCCACAATACACGAACAGAGGAACTTGTGTAAATTTTATGTTTTGTAATGTTTCTTTTGACAGATACTGTATAAACTAATTACACGTTTTCTGGGATTTCAGGAGCGATAAGAAAGTACCCAGAATGGGTTACAAGAAAGACAACAGAAGGGAGCCTCCAGGAAGTGGTTTTGCGGTGTTTGAAGGGAGCTGCTGACAGAGAAGGGGGCAAGAAACAACGACGGGAAAACTGAAGGGGTTCAAATACATTGAGTTTTTTAAAAGCTTAAAATTAAAATGTTTAATATATATATATATATTAGGGTGTGTAACGATGCACGTATTAGTATTGAACCATTCGGCACGAGGCTTTCGGTAAGCATTTTTAAGCCAAACGGTTCGTTGGAACATTTTTCCTGCCAACCAAAATTTTGCTATTCGAAATGTAGGCACGTCGTGGCAAGCGCGCTCATAATGTAAGAGACGCTGGCATGACCACAACATTGCCCAACATCAAATGGCGAATGTAATGTAAGTGGAATGAAACGGTGGTGCGTTTCCTGATAGCATTGGTAGCCAACTATGATCACAAGTTTCGTGGTTATCAGCATAGTTCAACAAGTCTGTGTTTCGAATTGTAGGCTATAATGCTTTCAAGTAACATCACGTCGGTTTTATTTTGACATTATGAATACAAATGCTGCCCTCAAATGTTAAAGGAGTAGTTCACTTTTAAAAAAAAACTTTTGCTGATAATTTACTCGCCCCCATGTCATCCAAGATGTCAACGTCTTTCTTTTTTCTTCAGTCGAAAAGAAATTAAGGTTTTTGAAGAAAACATTCCAGGATTTTCTCCATATAATGGACTTTAATGGGGTCCAAACGGTTCAAGGTCCAAAAGACAGTTTCAGTGCAAACTGTTCAAAGGGCTTTAAACGACTCCAGAGAGTCCAGACGATGAATAAGGGTCTTATCTAGGACCCTTAGAGTCATGACTCGAAAAAAGATTTGTTCATTTTGATGAACGAGTTTGAACAGGAGAGTCACGAACACGCATCACAGAACAGAACAAGACAAGCATTTGTGCTTATAAAACAAACTTTTTTATTTATTTTTTTAAAGGACTGCTCGTTTTGCTTGATAAGACCCTTATTCATCGTCTGGTGTTGTTTAAAGTCCGTTAAAGCTGCACTGAAACTCTCATTTGGACCTTGAACTGTTTGGACCCCATTAAACTCCATTATATGGAGAAAATCCTGGAATTTTTTCATCAAAAACCTTAATTTCTTTTCGACTGACGAAAGAGTGACATGGACATCTTGGATGACATGGGGGTGAGTAAATTATCAGCAAAAGTTTTTTTTAAAGTGAACAACTCCTTTAATCTGAACTAAAATAAACCTTTCTGTATAACTACTACAATATTACATTTCATTTTGTCCAAGGAGTGGTTTTGTTTTATATACTCCTAAGAAAAGTTGAAGTATAACTCCATCTTTGCTCAAAGTAAAAAAAAATCATACTTTATGATGTTAGTTTTAATAAAAATATAATAAAAAAATTAAATCAAGGAAATTTCTCTGGCAAAATTTCTCTTTCTTCTTTCTTTCTTTTTGCTGTATAGAAAACATACCGAACCATGAATTGTGAACCGTTACATCCCGTTACACCCCCTAGCCTATATATACAGTACTGTGCAGAAGACTTAGGCACACTATAGTATTTTCGCCTCAAAGAAATGGTTTTAAGCCAGTTATTTATATATTTTGTTGTAGTGTCTCAGTAGGAAATATCAGTTTACATTTCCAGACATTAATTGTAATAATCCAGTGAAATTTTTGAATGCACAAGGATTCTGACAACAGCCAATGCTCCACACGGAGGTCGGATCTCACCATCATCGAGTGCATCTGAAATTATATGAAGAAACAAAAAACCTGCAAAACTAAAAACTATGTGTAATACCTGGACAAAAGCTGTTTTAAACGTAAAGGGTACTAAACACCTATTGATTTGATTAATAACAGTTAATAATAGTTAACCTCTTAACCAGCGCCCCTATTTTTGAGAATTTTCTGAAAACGACATACCCAAATACAAATCTTTGTAGCTCTTGAACCCTATGGTCCACATTCATAACTCTGATATTTTTTTAAACTAGACACTTGAAACTTTGTTAACCAAGAGTCATTATAACTCAAAGTAACATAGGAACAGAGTAAAACAAGGTAAAATATACATGAAATTAATTCACGATTTCTTTGAATAAACTTCATTTAGGGAAAAATGTATCAGAATTTTATGTTAAGGCCTTGAAAACACCATAAATATAAAACTGAATGTCTGACCATGTTTTGATTCAAATTTGAGGAAGATACTCCCAAAAATGTAGTTCCTGTAAGCTTTTATTCAAGAAAAGTCTAGGCGTCCTTTCCAAAAGGCCACTTGGAGACTCCAAATGGATACCTGGTTACCAAATGACATAAGGAGTAAACACTACATACTACATACATGTTTATCCATTCAGAACTATTCTGCCCATCAAACTACACAAGAAAAAATTATTTCAGCACAACATTTTAACATTTTAACAAAATACTCTTTATTTTGAACATTTATAATAGCAAAAACAGTGAAAAAAACTCACTTCATTTATATGTTCCAAAAGTGATTGTTTTACTAATTAATAAAATATATAAAAAGAAAAAAATAATATTTGTAATTGCAACAGTGTTTTTACTCAAATAAGTTACAATAAACAATTACAATGAATATCCAATTACAAAAACAAAAAGCAACCGCTTACAGTATTTACAAAGTGTAGGAAGACATGTTGATCAAGGCAGTCACCACCAAGGTTTGTTCTGGAAACCAAAGCCACTGAAAGACAGGAGAAATAAAGTGTGTAAGCAGAACAAATAAAATTTGCACAGGAAAACACACACACAAAAGAGGATTTCAGTTTGAGTCACATTCATCTATTAGCAGCATCAATATTCCATCATACTACAATATCAAATGTCACATACCTTATCGTTATAATGCTCAATATTAAAAATGCTTTGTAATTATTATTTTTTCTATGTATAAAATTATATATATATTTATTATATCTTCACCTGACATCTTGTAATCCTTTCCTTCCATTTATATTCAATGCACCATTCATTCATATAAACGTATCACTGTAATCTCATATCTTGCTAGTCATCTCCACTGTTATTTTATAATCAACACATCTTCACCTGACTTCTTATAATCCTTTCCTTCCATTATTGTAATATTCAATGCAACATAAATATAATGTGTGTGATAAAAAATATTTTCTCTTTATGTATCGTTATAATATAACGTTACAGCTCTATCACCTGCTCGTGTAGCCTTGTGTCTTTGCTAGTAGCTAATGTCCATCGTCATTTTATAATCAAAAACATTACATGAACAGAAAAACTGCCAATAATAAAAATATCAATAAATGACAATGTGTTGAAACTTACCGATCTAAAACGGGATCGAGTCCATGAACAAACATCTCCTCTCGACAGACGCTCGACACCGTGTTCTCAGATGCATCTCTCTGCGTCTTTGCTCTTCGTCGCTGCTTCTCATCACTTCCTCCAAAACACTCTCAACACCACAAAAACGCTTCTGTAGACGACGATCCATGATGGAGATTGTCAAATATAACTTTGGAGAAAATCTATGAGTTGATACGAGCTCCGTGTAGCGAACCAATACCTAGCCTATGCGCTCTGTGCGTAAAATGGCGAAAGTGCACGAGCGAATAACAACATTGCGCACTTGTATTTGACAAATCTGCTTGAGAACTGTCAATCACTGCAATCGTGTTTTAATTGGTCAATACTCCCATCCATCAAAACATTGCCGATTACACATTGGCTGGCTATATCCAGACTTTATCCAGCCAAAAACCGAGATGCGAGATTGACAGGTTTCTAAGCCTGTCAGGCGGTCCCTTGGCATTTTGATCGATTACAGAGCCTGTGATTGAAGGAGAGAGAAGGGGGATGACTCATTTTATCCGGAAGAGTCTAAACTACAGGGGTGAGATGGCTTTTGAGTGTTGGAAAATGGATAAGAATCGATATTTCTTTGAAAATAAACATAACGCATGACGCATCTCGAAAACGCTCATGCAAACAAAGGAGGATATTTCATTTTTTCCCCTATTTTTCGTTGTTTTGGATTAAAAAGTGGGATGCATTTTGAAGAATGGACCCTTACATTGAAATGTATGCTGTTGTTTCTTGGATTCGTCCGAACTGATCTGAACCATACGAGATGAAAGATGAGTATAGCGGTTCATTTTACTCATTTTCAAATGAGAGGTCCTTTTGCATTTAATTTAACCCTTTCCTCTCTGTTGTATTGATTGCAAAAACAACTTTACATCATGATTCTTGAGTGTTTTAGCTTTCAAATGATGCATAGTTTATGATAGTCAGTTAAATATTTGTTATAAAACAAAGCTTAAAAAAGGTAATAAAAGTTTAGCCACGCCCTCGACGGCCCGTAATCGGATTGATAAATAAAATCTATTTATGATTATGACATTATTTTTGGAAATATTCTTATTTACAGCGTTTTTACACAAGTGTTTTTTCACAGTACTCTAGCTTTGCAGGCAGGCACTACCTTCGAGATGTTGCCGCAGTTCTTCTGGTCTTAGTCTCTGTTTTTTCTGTTTCTTCATATAATTTCAGATGCACTCGATGATGGTGAGATCCGACGTCCGTGTGGAGCATTGGCTGTTGTCAGAATCCTTGTGCATTCAAAAATTTCACTGGATTATTACAATTAATGGCACAATTAATGTCTGGAAATGTAAACTGATATTTCCTACTGAGACACTACAACAAAATATATAAATAACTGGCTTAAAAACCATTTCTTTGAGGCGAAAATACTATAGTGTGCCTAAGACTTCTGCACATATATATATAGACCCTTATTATGTATATATGTATATACTTATGTGTGTTTCATAGTTTTGTACAGTGTTAAACAATATTAAATAATATGTACTATAACATAATCTTATGATTTTTCTGTATCCTGTTAATAAATAATATAAACAATATTATTATATTTCATATGTATAGTAAAGTGTTAAACAATATAATTAAGTTGGCTTGTGAGAGCCAACTTACTGAAATTCTATTTAAACTTATTATTATTATTAGTGGTGCTTGCTGAAAGCAAGGCAACACTATTACTATTGTGTTTTTTGAGTCGGCCCAAAAGTTTGGCACGCTACTCCTCCCGCAGTTTTTGTCACACACCCATGAATGAGGTCTCAAATCGTGCGGAATATTCGGGAATGGTGTGCTATGACTTTTCTAAGCGATCGGGGGTACGATGTTCGCCCGAAGGGCGAACAAATTTCCTAAAAATCCCATAGACTTAACATTGCGACAAACTTTGACGACTCATAGCTCCGAGCGAGAATTTCACAGAAGCCTGCGATTTACCACATTTGAAGAGGCTGACAGGCTCTGTAAGAACATACCACACAATGGGGTAAAAGTTGTACCCCTGGGGGGCAGGAGCTGCCCAAATTTTCCCCATTGACCCCCATGTTGTTTATTATTCTTCTTCTTCTTATTATTCTGGCCACTTTTTGGTTCGCTACTCCTCCCGCAGCTTTTGTCACAGACCCATGGGTGAGGCGTCAAATCGACCGGCTCATTTAGGAGAGGTGTGCTATGACTTTTCTAAGCGATCGGAGGTACGATGGTCGCCCCAGAGCCGAAAAACGGCCCAAAAAAATCCCATAGACTTAACATTGCGAAAAAATTTGACGAGTCATAGCTCTGAGCACGGATTTCGCAGAAACTTGCAATTTACCACATTTGAAGAGGCTGACAGGCTCTTTAAGAAAATACCTCACAATGGGGTAAAAGTTGCACCCCTGGGGGGCAGGAGCTGCCCAAAATTTTCCAAAAATTCCCATTGAAAATTTTCTAGTATAGCATTTTACTATTCCAGGAAAAAGTTTGGCGCCCTCCTCCGTCCACAGTTTTTGTCACAGACCCATAAATGGGGCGTCAAATCATGCGGCCTATTGAGGAGAAGTGTCCTATGACTTTTTTAAGAGATCGGGGGTACGGTGCTCGCCCCAGGGGCGCACAAATTTCCAAAAAATCCCATAGACTTAACATTGCGACAAACTTTGACGACTCATAGCTCCGAACAAGGATTTCGGACAAACGTGTGATTTGCCAAATTTGAAGAGGCTGGCAGGCTCTTTAAGAAAATACCTCACAATGTGGTAAAAGTTGCACCCCTGGGGGACAGGAGCTGCCCAAAATTTTTCCCCATTGACTTACTATGGTGAAGGACGTCCCATCAAATGCATGTGTTTTTCCTACTATGGTAAATTGCATAGGGATTTTGTATTGAACATAGCTCTGGATCACAGTGTCATAGAGAAAAGGGGGCGGGCTCATTTTACTCAGACGACCAATCAGTCTCTCAGGATCATTGTGAAGCTATTAAGCCACGCCCTAGCAACCATTTAGAGCACCTTAGCAACAACTCCCATAGACTTCCATTGAATTAGATCAAAGGGATATCTCAGGATATAAGTGTCATAGAAACATGAGGGTGGGCTCGTTTGACTTGAGCCAGCAAACAGCCAATCCTGAATCACCTCAACACTTACTGGCAACGCCCTAGCAACCATTGTAGAGCACCTTAGCAACCAAAATCCAAAGAGGGATATCTTCCATTCTGAATGTCATAGAGGCATGGGAGTTGGTTTATATCATTCATACTGACAAGCAGCCTTTGGAGTTTCATGATTGGCAGCTGCCAAGCAACTCCCTAGCAACCAAACAGAGTACCCTAGCAACCATTTTGCAAGACCTATATCTCTGCATCAAAACATCGTATAGAGATGGGGGTTGGTTTATACATTCACATTGACTTTGGAGCTTCATGATTGGCAGCTGCCAAGCCAGTCCCTAGCAACCAAACAGAGTACCCTAGCAACCATTTTGTAAGACCTACATCTCTGCATCAAAACATCGTATAGAGATGGGGGTTGGCTCTTTTTACTCATGCTAGCAAACATGACTTGCTACATGCTACACATGCTAGCAGAGAATAGCTACATGCTAATATTGATTAGCTAAGTGCTAAATCATGCCAAGAAAATGCTACAAATTTCATAGTAACCATCTGTGACAACTACCAACCACCTATACCAGAACATCCAAGCAACCTCCTAGCAACACCCTAGCAACCACCTAGCAACCACCCAGAACACGTTAGCAACACCCTAGCAACCACCCAGAATACCCTAGCAACCACCTAACAACACCATAGCAACCACCCAGAACACCCTAGCAACCACCAAGAACACCCTAGCAACCACCCAGTATACCCTAGCAACTGCCTAACAACACCATAGCAACCACTCATAACACCCTAACAACCACCCAGAATACCCTAGCAACCACCTAGCAACACCCTAGCAACCACTCAGAACACCCTAGCAACCGCTTAGCAACACCATAGCAACCACCCAGAACACCCTAGCAACCACCTAGCAACACCCTAGCAACCACACAGAACACCCTAGCAACCACCTAGCAACACCCTAGCAACCACCTAGCAACCACCCTAGCAACCACCCATAACACCCTAGCAACCGGGTGGTGAGTTTTGCCACTGCAAGCACCACTTCACATTTTCCTCTGGAAATGTACATTCTAGTTAGTGGTGCTTGCTGAAAGCAAGGCAACACTATTACTATTGTGTTTTTTGAGTCGGCCCAAAAGTTTGACGCGCTACTCCTCCCGCAGTTTTTGTCACACACCCATGAATGAGGTCTCAAAACGTGCGGAATATTCGGGAATGGTGTGCTATGACTTTTCTAAGCGATCGGGGGTACGATGTTCGCCCGAAGGGCGAACAAATTTCCCAAAAATCCCATAGACTTAACATTGCGACAAACTTTGACGACTCATAGCTCCGAGCGAGAATTTCACAGAAGCCTGCGATTCACCACATTTGAAGAGGCTGACAGGCTCTGTAAGAACATACCTCACAATGGGGTAAAAGTTGCACCCCTGGGGGGCAGGAGCTGCCCAAATTTTCCCCATAGACCCCAATGTTATTTATTATTAGTGGTGCTTGCTGAAAGCAAGGCAACACTATTACTATTGTGTTTTTTGAGTCGGCCCAAAAGTTTGACGCGCTACTCCTCCCGCAGTTTTTGTCACACACCCATGAATGAGGTCTCAAAACGTGCGGAATATTCGGGAATGGTGTGCTATGACTTTTCTAAGCGATCGGGGGTACGATGTTCGCCCGAAGGGCGAACATATTTCCCAAAAATCCCATAGACTTAACATTGCGACAAACTTTGACGACTCATAGCTCCGAGCGAGGATTTCACAGAAGCCTGCGATTTACCACATTTGAAGAGGCTGACAGACTCTGTAAGAACATACCTCACAATGGGGTAAAAGTTGCACCCCTGGGGGGCAGGAGCTGCCCAAATTTTCCCCCATTGACCCCCATGTTATTTATTAGTGGTGCTTGCTGAAAGCAAGGCAACACTATTACTATTGTGTTTTTTGAGTCGGCCAAAAAGTTTGGCGCGCTACTCCTCCCGCAGTTTTTGTCACACACCCATGAATGAGGTCTCAAATCGTGCGGAATATTCGGGAATGGTGTGCTATGACTTTTCTAAGCGATCGGGGGTACGATGTTCGCCCGAAGGGCGAACAAATTTCCCAAAAATCCCATAGACTTAACATTGCGACAAACTTTGACGACTCATAGCTCCGAGCGAGGATTTCACAGAAGCCTGTGATTTACCACATTTGAAGAGGCTGACAGGCTCTGTAAGAACATACCTCACAATGGGGTAAAAGTTGCACCCCTGGGGGCAGGAGCTGCCCAAATTTTCCCCATTGACCCCAATGTTATTTAAAATTTCTAGTATAGCATTATACTATTCCAGGAAAAAGTTTGGCGCACTCCTACGTCCACAGTTTTTGTCACAGACCCATGAATGAGGCATCAAATCGTGCGGCCTATTGAAGAGAAGTGTCCTATCACTTTTATCAGAGATCGGGGGTACGGTGTTCGACCCAGGGG